AAGCCAGCCTCAGTTTTGAGATCTCAGCGGTGGTCAAATTGGCCCACTATCCTATTGACAAGAAGGGTATTCAACCGAGCACTCGGTCGCGTACTGAAGAGAAAGATGGTGACAAGAGATCACCAGTTATATGCGGGCGATTAAATCGTGCATGCCCTACCTTCTGACAAAGTTTTTGCGCAGATCAGTAGAGTAGTTTTCGATTTGGGACTTGACTGCAGTGCCCCAGAGTGGTTTACATGGTTGTTGAAGGTAAAGATGATGACCTCAGGTCACCAGCTTCGGAACGGTTGACGAAAATGTTTGTGCTCTTTCTTCTGGTAACGGTTCTGAAAGGATCTGTCGCGCGCTTTCCGTGTATGAACTTGGCTGCTATGCCCGGAAGTGGTTTATACGGTTTTTGAAGGGAGGGACTAAACAGCCGACCAAGCCCGTTGTCGGCCTCATGTTCCAAGCCCGTGACACTGATCGCAACCAGAACTACCTCCCTTCGATGCCGCTTAGCCAAAAACCCATACTTTTCAGAACATGGTGATCTCAAGACGGGTCAAAGGTCACCAAAAACGCCCAAACCTACCAAAATTGGTTGCAGACAACATCACGCACCGGGCCTGTGGCACCAATCAGAACGAAATCGTTCTCAATCCATGCATCACTGTCGATTTTTGTATTTTGCAGAATACGGTGATCCTGAGTCAGGTCAAAGGTTAACATAAATACCGAAAACCGGAAAACATGGTTGGAGACAAACCCATGCGAGCCTGTGCGCCGTTCAGCAAGGAGCATTCATCAATCGATGTGCTACAGTCCATATCCTATCCTTTCCAGAATATGGTGAGCTTGGGTCAGGGGAAAGTCACCATATTCTGGAAAGCATAGAAAACCGATTATAGCGCATCGATTGGAGAAGGTTTCAGTTTGGTCGGTGTGGTAGGCTGGGAGCAGGGTTGTTTGCAACCAATTTTGGTGGTTTGGGGCATTTTTGGCGACGTTAGGCCTGACCCAAGGTCACTTTGTTCCGGAAAGGATATCGCCTATGGTGCATCGATTGGTTAAGGTTTCATACTGATCGGTGCCATAGGCGCGGAGCATGAGGTTGTCCGCAGCCCTGCTTTCTGGTTTTCGTAACTCGGATGACCTTTGACCTGACTCAAGGTCACTGTATTCTGGAAACGGTGGATTATCGACCAAGCGACATCGAATGGGGAAGGTCCGGTGTTGATCGGTGTCATAGGCTTGGGGCATGGGGTTGTCAAGTTTGGTCGGCCGTTTAGTTCCTCTCTTTTTGAAGGTGAAGGTTGTGACCTGAGGACACTAGTTTTAAATAGGGTAATGAAACTGTATGCTGACTTTCAATTGAAGTCTGTATGAAGTAAACCTGTCTGCGATTCTGCTGTTTTAACTTGACTGCATGGGTGGCGGTGAAATAGTTTTGTCCCGAGACACGTGGGAAAGGCGCTGAGTGACCAAAGTGTCGTTTTGTTGGTTATTGGCGTTTTCGGGCTCGTCGACTCCAATGGTCATTTTGCACCCATAACGATGCTTTTACTGAACTAGTGTGGTGTGAAAATGACTTGAAAGCCAGCATTTTTTTAAATCGAAAAAAGTTGTTTGGACTCAAGAAAGCAGGAGATGTCAACGAGCGCACCGCTAATTATCAGGGACGAGGCCTGCGGTCCAAAATGACGTCGTCGTTCTTCGATGAGGCACGCACATGATACGACATGGTGGACAGTGCAAACGGCACCACACCGATGCCATAGGGACCTATCGGCTCCATGCAACAGATGACCATGGGTGGCATACGTGTGTCCAATACGCAACCTGCATACAGCTGCTTCTTCCCGCCGCACACTGCGAAAGCATGACGACCACAAGCCCAACTCGGTTCTCATCGCCCTGAACTTATTGCCGCCCATCTGGTCCCAACAGCGCTGTAATTTTCTTTTGAGAAAGGACTTGACTGCCGGGTAGAAATCTCTGGCAGGGACCGGCAAAAACCGGGTGCATGGTGTCACTGTTGCTCGCTTGGCAGCGGCATCAGCCAAATCGTTGCGCACGATACCGACGTGACTGGGGATCCAGCACAGTGCAACTCTCTTTCCAACCCGATTCAGCTGCGTCAGGGGTGATAACATGTCCTGCATAAGGGGACATGCTGGATAAAGAGACTTCAGTGCAGAGAGACTGCTCAGTGAATCTGTAAAAATGGCGTGCGAAGATTCTTCACCAACTTCTATGAAACATACCGCCTTAGTAATCGCGATCAATTCCGCTGTGAAAACTGCCGCGTGGACCGGTAACGAGAACGATCGAGTGACGGAGCCGCTGGCGAAAGCACAACCCACGCCATCCGAGGTTTTGGATCCGTCCGTGTACGTCAGAGTGTATCCTTCATAAGATGCTAGAAGCTCAAGCGTCCTGGATCTCACTAGATGTGGTGTGACGTCTTATTTCCTAATTTATGTATGCGAGGTGTTTATGAAGGGTATGGTCACTTGTCAAGGACAGGAAGCCAGGTGGCTTACTTGCTTTGCACCTCGAAGAGAAATTTCGCCCTCTTGCAATAAGGCTCTCACTCAGAAACCAAAAGTTAAAGCGTGCTGCTGCACCCCATGACAAAGGGAACTCACAGCAAACCGAGAAAATACTTCAGAATATGTCGGATGTGACGGGAACTGCCGGCAGCTTCAAGGCATAACGTATGCCGAGCATTTTCCTCCTCGCTGACAGTGGTGACTCGTGTGCCTCCGTTGAAAGGCTGACAGAAGGTGATATGCGAACTCCCCAGTAACAATACGAACGGCAGTATGGTGGACGGTATCAAGAGCACGCTTGCTGGATATAGACGCCCCATCATAAACAAAGTATGCATAATCCAGTTTGGAACGGACGAGTGAACGATATAAAAGCATAAGCGTGTTTCCGTCTGCCCCATATGACGTGCGAGACACACACTTCAGTATGTTGAGAGATTTAAAGCAGCGATCGCGGACGTTGTAAGATTGCATGATATGTAAGGCGGCGGCCAAAGTGTATCCCAAGGTACCTGGCCACGGCCTTTGTTGGAATAGAGCGACCATATAGACGGATGCTCAGGCCATCGCATCGCAGGGGACGACAAAAATGTGTTGCAACGGTCTTGTCATCTGAAAAACGAAACCCGTTCACGTCGCTCCACCTTTCCACGCGGTCCACAGCCAGCTGGAGACGTCGCTCCATCGCTGGCGCCCTCGCTGCACTGGTCCAAATAGTTAATCGTCAACAAAAAGGGGACGTGCGACCGACTGGGGGAGCACATGACAAATATCGTTTATGGTAACTGCGAACAGTGCTATACTTAGCACGCCGTCCTGGGGAACACCGTTTATTTGTTGGTACTTATCGGAGTGGACGTTGTCGACGCGAACACGGAAATATTGTTTGGCTAAAAACCTTTGGAGAAAAGTACTCACATGGCCACATATTTAAAAGCTTTTGAAGAATACGCCATGTGGTGTCATAGGCGGCCTCAATGTCAAAGAATACTGTCCCCATATGTGCTTTCTCTCGGAAAGCCTTACGAATCATAGTGTCCAAAGCTAAAAGGTGGTCCACCGCACTTTGATTTTTTCTAGAGCCGCACTGCGAGTTACTAGAAATATCGTGATTCTCCAAAGTGAATTCAAATCAAACCAGACCAAGTGAAACCAAATCCAAATAAAAAATACCAGGTGAATCGAAGTTTACCATCCTTTCCATGAGCATGGACAGCGATGACGTCAGTGAAATGGGTCGGTAATGAAGAGGGTCCATGCCAATCTTTCCCGGTTTTAAAATAGGCATCACAACAGCTTCCCGCCAGGCCGGAGGGAATTCGCCACTTGACCACACCCTGTTGAAGGCCGCCAACAGCACACGGCGTGCGCACAGGAAATGGCACGGATGAAAACTGCCCAGAGATAGGTTTGATCCGATCCCAAACCTGCGAAGTTGGCGGGAATCGATTAAGCGTGCCTACATACGCTTGGAGTCACATTTCGCTTCTTTTATCGTGTCACGGGCGAAAGCTCTCGCCCTCTTAAAAGGTACTACATTCTCCAGGGTACTTCTGGCGTCAAAAGCTCGGAAAGCACGTTTGCAAGCGCGAATTGCGGCACGAGTACTATTGAGGTCTGTGTGTGTGTGGTGTGTGTGTGTGTGTGTGTGTGTGTGTGTGTGTGTGTGTGTGTGTGTGTGTGTGTGTGTGTGTGTGTGTGTGTGTGTGTGTGTGTGTGTGTGTGTGTGTGTGTGTGTGTGTGTGTGTGTGGTGTGCGCGTGCGTGCGTGCGTGCGTGCGTGCGTGCGTGCGTGCGTGTGTGTGTGTAATTGGGGCTTTACAACGCACTCAGCTGCTGAGGCTATATGGCGTCGCCTGCCTCTCACCCTGGCAGGAAGGGCGGGTACCGCGGGGAATCGAACCCCATAACTCTGGTCTCCCAGACGCGCAGTGGTTAACACAGACGCGTCAACCACTGCAATATCGGCACCCCGTACTATTGAGGTCGATGAACTCCTGTGACCTTCATTAAATCCATATAAGATGCTTGTTGACGTCCCTGTGATCAAGAAATCAGAAATGAGGGTTAAAAACTACCGCATCAGAAAAGTTATCCAGTAAAAAGGCGCTTCAGTTTTGGCCTCGGTCGTACCTGACCCAAGGTCGATGTAATAAGTCGCAATCATGACTTAAATTGTCCAATGTCTGCAAAGCTATCTCAAAGACATATGGCTTCATCTAACATTCGGTGTATAATCAGATTCAACCATTCACTAGGAACCGTCTTCGATGTCAGCCGTTTCCTGATTTTGGCCTATCATACATCAGGGACCTTATACTATACTCAACGTGTTCATACCAAAAGATCGACTATTCCATTGCCTGCGTATATACCAGGTTTAGCGAGGCTACGCAGTGCCGTTCTGAAGTTGGTCTGGAGAAAAGCTTCGGAAGGGGGGGGGGGGGCAATGTACCCTCCTCACTTGAGCGCATTTTAACTCAGTTCGAAAATGGACATCGAGTTCAAAACAATGGCGGCTCGAGCTCAGCACGAATTCAAAACAATGACGGCACGAGCTCAGCGAGCCCACTGAACACAACTTGACCGAGTCAGATACTTTTAAAAACGACGTATGAAAGCGCACACGGTGCGGCCATCAAAATTACAGGCGTCTGGGGGCTTGAAAGCTGGGGTCCATTGACATTACGAAGGGGGTGGTGTATCTTAAGTACAAGTACCGGTCAAAACCACGCCACACTTAAGCTATGTTTGTACCCCCTCCCATAGTGGATGATATGCATGCAAATTTCGGGACAAATCTACAACCCACCGTCGCACGCATACTGACAATAATTGTATTGGTGCACATGGGTTATGACAAAACATGAAATTCAGCACACGAGTTGGGGATGAAGCCCAAAATGGACAGAGATGCTCATAAAACCACTAGACTCCCACAAATCATTCCCAGGGGCAAAGCGCGGCAGATGCTTGTTTTCTCCCTACACACATTCTACAGCACATCAAGCAAAGGGCATCGTTTCTTAAGAGTAATGCGTGCCAGAGATCCCCTTTGTACCAACTTCTCGTGTTCCGAACCCCCCCCCCCCGCGCCCCAATCGCCCCTTGTTCGCACACCGCCGCCTCACTCCTTCTTGTTCTTCTTCTCCCTGTAGACTATGACGTAACGCTGGGCCACGCGCAGCGGCGGAGCGAAGCCATCCGTATAGGAAGAGTCTTCGAACAGGATCTCGTAGTCGTCCACGGCGGTGGCCGGCGCGGTCTTCACCACGCCCTTGTAGAAACAGGTCGTCTGCGGGTAGATGGCGTTCACTGCCGCCGGCACGGGCGGCGTCAGCGTGACGTAGGTGGGGGGTCGCACGGGGATCGGCCGCAAAAGCGAGGAAAACTCCAGGAATGACGCTGCTCACCTAGCCGACGGCGCGGCACTAATGCGAACAAATTGATACCTTAACGATCTCGCTTGCATTCTGCTCGACAATCGAGCGAAGGAACAAGCGCCGCAAAGCAAGGTGCGCAGCTCGAATGTCGCCATATCAATTTAAGGAGTCGCGTATCCTAGACAAGAAGCGGGAACATTCCAAACCGGCGACCATGCGACGACGCTGCATGGCAGGGCGGCGGCTGTCCGAATCCAAAGACTGTTCGGCAGACATTCCAAGGCAAAAGTACATCATTGTTTGGACTATGTGTGCGGCGGGAGGCATGTCACGCAATAAGCCGCGATCAGCGTCGTCTTTGATCCTGAAGCCACTCTTGCAAGCATTTGTAATCATCACAGAGATGAAATCTCTCAATTGTTCACTCCGGTCAGAATTTATCCGTGTCATAATCAAACGTCCGCAGAGTTCTGGAAGTCTTGTTCGCGACTCATTAGGGTGCATTCGAGGCATCTTTCCTCTCACGGCGGCCTGGAGCCAAAGGGTAGGGATAAGTTCAGCCTTAGCCCCGTCGGTGTTTCCCCTTCGCCGCACGTACCGACGGCCGTCTCCTGGAAGAGCGCCTCTGGCTGGGTGTCCGGGTTAGCCCGCATGGTCGGCAGCGGGATGACACGCCGCCGGCTCAGGATCATGCGCTCCCGCTGCTCCTCGTCAATGTCCTCCACCTCGTACTTGTTGCTCGAGGAGTTGTAGGAGATGACCTCGGCCAGGATCCAGTTCTCCTCGCCGTCGCTGCCACGCACGAGGGCGGCCACCATGTCGCCCGCCTGGCAGAGCGGAGGGCGCGGGGAGACAGTGCGCGTCGGAGCGCCCAACACACGCACACGCTCAGTACTGGCACAAGCAGCGCTGCACACCGACGTCTGTATAGTGTAGGGGACACTGCTGAGGCACTGACACTTCCTTATGGGGTCGCTCATATGTTGGACAACGCTCACCAGGAGCTCCATGTCCCCCTCGTGTGCACATTCCCCGTCCCGTCACATAGCCGGCCTCGTTGTATATCGGAGCCAACCCACGGTAAGATCATACTTCGCAACGCGGCTCACACAATCCCATGCATTGTTATTAACTGGTCACCTACTCACTTCATATGACGGCACCACTCATGTCCAAACTGGGCCATCGTAAGTGTGCGTAAAATAATTAATATCGACACTGTACATGCACCACCGCCGCGAAGCCAGGTCGCGTCGACGTTGCATCAAGCCCACCCAGCATAGCATGTCCACGTGCACGCTATAATTACCAACCCACATCCGTGAAGCCTGACATCGGCATGCATGGCCCCTGACGTGACACCCTAACGAGCTTGACGCCACGCTAATGTCACCCCGCGCCACGTGTCACACCCCGGTCCGCCTGCGCAGCCCCACCGGGCCACGTCGGCCGCCTCCTCACCTTGGCAGCGTAGTTAGGCTCGGCCTGGACGGCACCGCAGAGTGCGGGTGGCTCGTCGCCGGGCGACCCGATCCACAGCGGCAGCGTCTGCGCCGTGTTCTGCAGCATCTTCATCAGCGCGCCGCGTCGGATGGTCTCCTTGTTGCCAGAGTGCTTGGCCTGCCGCGGCGAACGCATGGTGACGCGGCGCAGGTAGCAGAGCGTCGGCGTCGCGCGGCAGTACACGACAAAATGGCCAACCGTATTTGAAAAGTAAAATGAACACTTACAAAATACCCACCGAGGTTTACCGGACCATGTTGGGTCTGTAATCTCTTCCCAAGAACGCGGGTGAACAAAAGTGTTTTCGGCGGCCTTACCTTCGAAAACACAGCAACACACGCAGCTTTGCAACACCGCCACTTTGAAAATCACCACATTCCCGCCGCAGGCCTCTGTTATTAGACGCCATCCATCGAACCACGCGATCTCTGCCCTCGTCCTGCCCCAGGCCAGGCAGATGCAGTTACCTGTAGTCGGAGCTCGTTGCGGATGCTCCTGATCTCGTAGATGGTGGCTAAGGCACTGCGAATCAGCTCCGCCTCGCGCTCGGCATCGCCCCGCGCCGTCACATACATGCTCTTGAGACGCATCTGGGGGCAGCGGGCGCAGCTCGACCCCGACGCACACCAGCCAGCGGACACCGCCCCATTCGAATGCATTGTCTGGCGTTGACCAGGCTCTCTCCGAGGAGACGGCGGCTGCGGCTGCCCGCCGCACCGTCATGCGCGACTCCAGCATCACCAGCGTATCCCTCCACCGTCGGCTCGGGCAGCTTATGCTCACTTGCGGGACCGGCGACCGCCATTACGCCCCCTGCCCCCCCCCCCCCCCTCCCCCGCCACTGCGAGTGCTGGCGGAGAGACGCCCGAGAGGGGACAACCCAGAGGACCTACCCCCAGGAGACCTGCGCTCACTGGACCAACGCTCGAGGCCTACGCTCGCTGGACCCATGCTCGCGAGACCTACGCTCGCTGGACCTACTCTCGCGATACCTACGCTCGCTAGACCTACGCTTGCTGGACCAACGCTCACCAGACCTACGCCCAGGAGACGTACGACGGGGACCACCCAGAAGACCTACCCCCAGGAGACCTACGCTCACTGGACCAACGCTCGAGGCCTACGCTCGCTGGACCCACACTCGCGAGACCTACGCTCGCTGGACCTAGACTTACGAGACCTACGCTCGCTGGACCTACGCTCAAAAGGCCTACGCATGCTGGACCTACGCTCAAAAGATCTACAAATGCTGGACATACACTCACGAGGCCAGCGCTCGCTGGACATACGCTCATAAAACCTACACTCGCTGAACCTATACCCAGGAGACCTGCGCTTGCTCGAAGAGGAGAGAGAGAGAGAGAGAGAGAGATGAGAGAGAGAGAGAGAGAGAGAGAGAGAGAGAGAGAGGAGAGGAGAGAGAGAGAGAGAGAGAGAGAGAGAGAGAGAGAGAGAGAGATAGAGAGAGAAGGAGAGAGAGAGAGAGGAGAGAGAGGAGAGGAGAGAGAGGAGAGAGAGAGAGACGAGGTGTGTGCGTGGTGTGCGTGTGTGTGCCGTGGCGTTGACGTCGGTTTGTGTGGTGTGTGTGTGTGTGTGTGTGTGTGTGTGTGTGTGTGTGGTGTGTGGTGTGTGTGTGTGTGTGTGTGGTGTGTGTGTGTGTGTGTGTGTGTGTGTGGTGTGTGTGTGTGTGTGTGTGTGTGTGTGTGCGGTGCGTGCGTGCGTGCGTGCGTGCGGCGTGCGTGCGTGCGTGCGTGCGTGCGTGCGTGCGTGCGTGCGTGCGTGCGTGCGTGCGTGCGCGTGCGTGTGTGTGTGTGTGTGTGTGTGTGTGTGTGTGTGTGTGGACACTGACATATAGGCGTAGGAAGTTTCAAGAAGTGGAAGCTCCAAACTCAGGACGTACTTCAGGATCTTTTTCTGGAAAGCGAGCCTGATGACCAAGGGGAGAGGGGGAGGGGGGGGGGGCTAGAGATGGAGGTTGTTATCGTTTTTATTCAGAGATCATGGCTGCTGTGCTACATATGCATCTAGGGCTGTTTCTCACTGGTGCACAATCTTGCCTATTCGACTCATACATGTCATTCGGCAAATAAGGCTATTCAGCTTCCCAGGATTATTCGTGGATTACAACAGTCTCTCCCGGAGAGGCGAAATTCTGCAAGCGAGTAGTCAATCTAGGTCATTGGGGAGGCATCTGTCTCCACAGAGCAGATACCAAAATGCGGCCTGGACATAGGCCGGTGAGAATTTTGAAAGTGAATCGATGGCTCGCAGTGCGATGGATCTTTCATGCGCCTTCATTTCGCTGGCTGTTTTTCAAAAGAAGACTTGTCGCAGCATTTTAGGCGGAAACAAATTCAGAAACTCGAAACTGCGCAAAAAAAAGTGACGAAAGCCATAAAACTGGGGATTCTCCTTTAGAAACCAAGCCCCCGAATGAAGGCCCTTCAGTCATATATTCCTTATTTGGGTCCTGCCCCCGTCCACGTTCGCGGCTGTTGCCCTGACCCGTCTGCCTCCCTCTTGACTGACTGCCAACTGATCGTGTGGCTGTTTTGTTGCACATCTCTGAGTCAGCGTTACTACTAATTGGTGTGTAAAACATCTTGAACACCTGCAACAGTATCTTTCTCCGAATTTGCTTCCCTCACACCACACCACTGCAGAAAAAAACCTCCCGGAAGCTGCCTGCCTCAGGTATAAATTGGCCAAACGGATATTTATTTGGCCATCATTCAACGTAGACGACTTGATCTGATTTTGTGTGCAGGCAAGGTCGTAGTCAAAGCGTTGTCAAGGACCAACACACTGTTGACAAAAGCCCCTCTTATGGTGAGCCCCCCCCCCCCCCTCCCCCAAAAATACATAAATAGGTTACCCGTAAACAAGGGACACGGTTTTCTTCGTTTTATGATTATTTTCACCTTGCAACCAGAACAGAAACCAGAAGCTACCGTGGGATCAATTTTGTTTGTATTTTGAAGTCAATAAACTGCCGAAATCAGGCGTTGAAAGACTGCACGGAATAAATCGCCGGCGCCATTAATTTATAACGGCTTAGTGGACTCTTTCTGAATCGATAAAATTCGGAAGCTTTATCAGAATTTTGTCTGGATTATAGATCAAGACATCGCAACGGTAGATGGTAGATCGGTATGTTTGCTCGCAATTTCAAGATGAAATTTGATTGTAGATCGAATGGTCAAAACTGTGTATCAACATGGCCAAGCCATGTTTTTTCTGGAAATGGTCAACATTCGGTCCGAATCGATTAGTGATACAATTTATGTGACGCGGTTTTTTAACACGCGCGCTCGTAAATCTTAGCAGCAAAAACCTCGCCATCAGGCGTTGCAGTCTCCGTATTCCGCGGAAGCTAATTGGCTAATACCAGTGGCTAATATAACCCCAGTGGCTAATTATAAATAACCCCAGTGGCTAATTCTTAGTTGAAGCTCACCAGTGGACAAAAATGATGACCTTCTGAAATCATTACATTCAACACTGAAATCGATGGGTCATGCAAGCTATGTGACGTAGTTTTGAGCATGCGCACTCGTAAATCTTAGCAAAAAAACCTCGACAGCAGGCGTTGCTGTCTCCGTAGACAGCGCAGCGTTGGTTCAGCAGCTGATACTGAGCTGTAATCAACGACTGGACGAAAATGGTGACTCGGCGGAACCTAACAGACTGTCAGCACCACGGCTTTCGTGTACACGGACGATACGACGGTGCACTGCGGTGGCAGCACCGTCGCGACGGCGAGGAGCGGCGGGCGGCGGGCGCACGTCCGGTGGGCCCGCCGCTCCAGGTTGAGTGTAGCTATTGAGGCGACCCAGGCCCTGGTACTCTCCCAGTGGTCCCAAGGCGCCATCGACTGCCAGGTCAGCGCTGCTGTCACGACAGTGAGTTCCGGCGATCAACTCAAACCGCTCTGCGTCACGCTGAATGGGCCGCTTCACTTCGGGTCCCACAGCCGCGAGCTGAGGGAGCGCGTGCGCCCCAGGCTATGCCAGCTGCGGATGCTGACGGGCCACAGCTGAGGACTGCAGGGCAGGAAACTGCGCACGGCGTGCGCCATGTCCAATGCGTGTGGTGGCCGAATCACGCGGCCGCCAGGTCGCTGCCGGCGGCATCCGCTACTCCCCCCCCCCCCCCCCCAAACACACGTGGAGTTGCCCGGAGCGGAAGATGCGTGTGGTGCCCCCTGTTACCACTGCTAGCCATGCTCACCAACCACTGCACTCAAATAAGGCAAGCTTAAAGTCTGCCATTAACATAAGGAATATGATATGCTTGCATCACACGGCTGCGATCGGCTGCGATGACGCTAGCGAGCCCAACTTTGCACAGCATGGTCGACTTTGGGAAGTAGTTGGGTAGAGGGAGTCGACGCTGATGGGGGCCCGGCACATGGTGGTCCCGCAGGTACAACACAAGCTTGTTATGTAGTCACCATAGTGTGCGCAGGCATTTATAGCAAAACAGTGGATGAACGTGTTGAATGGGGGGGGGGGGGGTCTGCACTCATTAGCATATGGGGTTGCATTGCTTCTACTGAGACGGCCCGGGACTGGCTTACGCTCAAAGTACATGTGAACCACACCTTATTCATGGGCGTCAGCTTTCCATCTTGTTGTATTTTGTCATGCAGAGCATTGATTGCTTCCAAGTTTGGGTCACCTTTCTTTCGCTCAGCTTCTATGTCGGAGATGCTCTTTGAGACAATTTTGAGCTTGTCCTGAAAACAAGCGAACCGTCAGCTTTCTGCGGCGATTTATGGGTCGACCACTTCACGATTATGCACAAGTTCCTTAAAACCATGAATACGAGGAAAATTCCTTCAAGCTATACAAACTTGTCCATATACAAGATTTCCCCCACCCCCAAAAATAATCCTCAAATAACAGACATAGCCCAGATACTTGTTCTTGATTTGCAAACAACATAGAAATCATACAACGTGAGGAACATAGTCATCTGTTTCCAACCTTGCTAGTGACTATGACAGCCCAGATCAAGCTGGTGCTCCCGCCTGACCCCGGCACCACCGCACTGACCTGTATGGTGCCGGCCTCGGCGTTCATGGCCATGACCATCTCGGTGCTGAGGCTGAGCGGGTACGGCGTCAACGACATGTTGACCAGCTCAGGCAGCCGCAGGCGCCGGTATGACGCCGACCCCTCGCCAGCTTTCGGCGAGCGGGGGCTACCGACGCACTTGTTCTTGGCACCTGGTGTGCGACCCATGGCATCTACGCGCGGTCCTCAGCCACTGGCAGAGGCGCCACCTGGCGTCCGGCGACGCACTGGGCAGCCAGCACTGTGTACACCCAGCCAATGATGGTCAATGTCCAAAACACCTGAAATAAGGAGAGTGGAGGGGATGCTCACAAGCCATATGAGCACAAGGACATCTCTGAGCATTCCATCATGTTAAACTTGATGCAAACAACTGAGATAACAACAACACAACCATGTCCATTCACAGCAAGCATTGTTGGAACTCATCAAGCCATTAAAACTTTGGAGCAAAATTTAAATTTTTTAGTGGAGGTATTTCTATAATACATCAACAAAGCAACATGCTATAACGAATGACACCAGTGACTGTAAACATTCTGACCCGGCAAAACAAAATTGGCTACTTCCCTTCACGCCCCCCAAAAACATCGGCATTATTTCATGTTACCATATACAAGTGGCACATTTACACATATACCCAAATCAGCAGTGCAAAATATGTTAACACTGGACAAAACACAAACTTTTCTCAAAATAAATTAAAAGAGCAGTTTCCAAGGAGCCACTGGACTGATGTCCTTAAACATCATGCATCCAAAAAGTGGGAGAGGTAATTGGACCATGCTGGGTTGTATAAAATCATGACTTTAAAGCTATGCAGAGTGAATGTAGGCTATAACATTTTTTGACAATGACACATCCCAAAAGTTTAATCATTTGAAAAGGTGCTATAAATGGCCAAAGGCTAAGTGTGGATTGCCTTCAAGAGTTGTGTACGTGGATAGGCCTATTTTTATATGAACATCACTCATTTAAGTGACACAGCTAAAAATGAGAAATTCACACTTCAGACCATGTCAAGCAATTTTAACCAGTTCATTAAACTGAATTGATGGACAAATATGGATTGGACTGATCAAACTGAAATATGGAGACAATACTGATAATCTCACTTGTTATGGTATGATCAAGAAAAAGGAGAAACAGAGATATGTGAACATTGCAAATGTGTGCCTGTCAAAATGAGTATGAGCAGTAAATTCAAAGCTGCTCATCAATCCTTCATACATTTTCAAGTTTTGTGTTATGAAAAGCTCAACAAGTCTTTGCTTTTATTTATATTTTACTTAAAAATTTAGTGTGATGGCAGACCATTTTGAGATTACTGCTCACAATCCTCTTGACAAAGGCATGTATCCCAAAAATTTATACATCTCTCTCCCTCTCTCTCCAGGTTTTTCAAAGAGGAAAAAGGCCATCTCTACAGTCTTATGGATACCAAGTATTCATCACAGTGACACTGAGCAACTCATGAACTCTTGAGAGGGATAACCTAACCTTAGAATGGCATATGAAGTAGAAATAGACCAAAACAAGTATCATGCAAGCAGCATTAAGCATCACCATTTGTTTTAAAGGAAAATTCAAGGGATGTTACCTTCCTTCCTTTTGAATAATTACATGCATAGACACCTGAACAATGTGATGACCAACAAACAACCTTTTAGTGATTGCTGACTTAAGCTGAGCCACTTAACATAGTCAAAAACATACTCATTTAAAACTAAAATAGAAACAGAATGGTGCATTGCAAAGGGGCACAAAACACTTCTGTATGAATTCCATGCCCTGAGCTATGTATACCACTGGCTGAAGCACAAAGTAGGAAAACAAAGATTCTTTGTTGCATTTTTTATTTTTAGCTTCACTGCTTAGATGGCACCAGAGCAATGCAACCTTAACTAGCTAGACCACATCTCAAGCAAAGGATATAACCTATGTAAAGCCATGGTCATGCATAAGTACACCATACATCATAGCAAACTCAGGCCAATGCAATACTACCTGCTAGTGACCACCCGTCAGAAAAAGAAATATGGGTGGCTTTAAGGTGCCCCATTTAAATACAATGTTAAGTGAGCTGAGAAATAAAAGACACATACCGCCTCCAAAGCTGAAATTCGGCAGAATTCACACTTGGAGACCATTAGGAAGTATAAGACGGTACCAGACAGCAGATTCAAGCAAAATATTCTGTTATCGTGATCTAGGTGGGCCCTTTTAGCGGATACGCACGGCCGATTTCACGGAACACAAACGCGGGTATGCGGTTAGGGACTATCTCCAGATTACGGTATGCAGATACACTATGATTTAACCGGCTTTTGCCGCTATCTGAACCTGATGCGTCGGTGTTGTCGCAATTGTCCCGAAGGGGGTTTACGTGATGCACTGCAGTCAAATTGCAGTGTTGTAAGCGATCGGCGGGGGTGTGTGATGGAGAAGGCTGTTTTGATTGTAAATGGTAGTCATGTGGTTGTAGTTCGTTGCTAGTGTTGCGTGGCACGAAGTGATCATCTTAAATGCCCTGCTCAATTTTGAGGAGAATGGAAAGACTTAATTCACGAGAGATGTGCATCAAGCTGTCCGTATTTTTTCATGCTGCATATTGTGTCTGCTGCATTGATTATTTCCCCCATACATAAGGCTGCCTGGACACATGTTTGCTTGTCTGCAAATATATTCTTCCACTGTGCCCAGTTGTGTATGCTATGGGAGTTGACTTCTATGGCATGTGTGCAATCCATTTTCTACTGAAATGTACGAAACTGAAGCTAGGCCAAATTGAGTGGATTTTTCTTATTGGAGCTGTGTGTATTGGGATGTCCTTACAATTCAGCATGAAATTACCTCAGCAGGATTATAATTCCCCAAAATACCAGCTCTGTGGTGAAGTCAATGGTGATTATGTGACGAGCTCTGAGCGATGGGCATACATGTTCTGAAATGTGTGCTGTAATGTTGCTGTTGAAAATGTTTTGTGTGGCATGCTGTTTTGCAATTTGACTATCATGCATCAGTTGCGGCTCACAGTTCTACTCTCAGCTGAGGAACTTAAAAAACACTTGACAAGCATATGTTTTTGCTTGTAAAGTACAGTTTTCAGTCTTGGATTAAGTATGCTGTCTCTTGTACGCAGCCATATTTCTTAACATCAGCAGTTTTCAGCATTAGTCTTGCTGTTTTTCCTCCCTGATGCATGATGCAGCCATATTCTGGCTGGAAGTTGGACATGCTTGGATCTGTGAATCAGGATTAGTGTAGGTTATAACATGAAATATTACTATTTGAGAGGCATGTGTATCAAGAATATATAACATCATGGGCACTATCCTTATCCATTTTCAGATGCCTGCCTGTTGATGGAGGACAGCCAGTATTTAGCTGCACAAGATGAGACCTCACCCATTATGTAGATTGAACTCCAGCACAGGAGTGGACTCAGATGAGCAACAAATGGTATCTGAAACAACCCACCACTTGGGCACTCAGCGCAAGGCTGGTCGCAATGGACCACTCTTCTCAGATGCAGAGCAGCAGCACATGGTGGCATGGCTACAGCAGTGTGCAGCGCAGGGCATGGTCATCACACGGGAAAACTTCTTGGAAGATCTCCTTCGCATTGCTCAGATGGAGCAACGTGGCAACAGAAGGTGAGCTTGTCTTTTCTTTAAAGGGAATGTTCCAAATTTGAAGATATTGAGTTAGGCATCACATGATGGGAAATGCTTACTTGTAGCTATTGGTAAGCTTTCTAAGTCCAAAAATGATGCAAAGATGCAAAATTTCGAAGTATATAAAAGTGGGGCCCGTTACGTCGTTGTGTGATGGCGTCATGAAATGGGTTTGAAACGACAGCAAAACCTGGTAGCATATGGCAGCCAGACCTAAGGAATACCTCGAAACACACGAAAGCTGACGCCAACCGGCCATTCCCGTCGCGGGGGCTGTGTCGGGGGGAGGGGGGGGGGGGGCGGATTAGCGGGTGGGTTATTTGTGGATTTTTTTGTCTTGGTGCTGGCCGTAAGAAAAGCCTTCGTGGACAGTTTGACATGCGCAACATAGTGATCGCCAGCTTTTACGGCAGATGATTAATATCAAAACACGATATGCTGTGCTACTGCTGTTGCTGCTTTGTTGTTGACAACGATTTTGTCAATACTTCATTGTCGACCCATCGCTGCGCGCAGTGCTGTAGTCCCACCTTTCCGTGGTGTGTGTGTGGGGGGGGGGGGGGGAGGATTGCGTGCCCCATGGATCCTGCGGGCGGTTGGGGAGGCTTGTAAAGCGCCCCTTCCGGCCAAAGGGGAGGGGGCCAGACGAAATGTGCCTCCCGCAAGGGCTCTGACTCGTTCAGTGTAGGGACTAGCAATCCCTCGGCCCCAGCTTTTCAGTCTTATCTGGGTCTCGCCGTACCCCGTTGGATCCGCAGGTAACGATGAAGGGATCCGGGTCACTGAGGGAGTTGCACTGCGGGTCAGTCGGGGCAGCTTACCAACACGTGGCTTTGGCCCGAATTTGTGATCCTGCGGATGCCTCGTGAAGTCTCCACACGAGGAAATCGGCTGGTCAGGCGTCGTGTTTTCGTGACACTGGCTTGGAGGCAAGCAGGCCATGTGATGGGTGATGAGGGGGGAGCTGCCGGGTGCAGTGTCTGCCTCCTGACACCATCAAGGGCCGTACCTCGGTTTGTTACCAGGGCGCCTGGTTAGCCCCTGCGAACCGAGGCACTGGCGCCCGCAGACTCGTGCCCGGCGGCTCTCGCAGCAACTCTTTTGGCACACTGGTCTGCGTATAGCGTGCTGGTGGCCCTGGCGGCTCCTCTCTTTGAAGTGGACCGTCTCTGTCTTGTGCTTCATGGTGGGCGGGGAATCAGCGCGCCGGACATAAACATATACTTTGGATACTATACCTTCAACCAACCCCCAAACTCCGACCGTCGTCCCGTGCCACTGCCCAAATTTCTGGTGGTAAGATCCGCCAAGGTAAATGACCAAGGAAGAACAGTACCGCTCCGACTAAGCCCATTTCAGCGCCAGCAAGCATTTTCAAAGATCGGGACACCCAATGATGTGCTTTCATATACGGATGGAGGCATAGAAGTGCATTTAACAGACGAACGCGAGATCCAGCGCATGCTAAAGACGACCACACTAGTCTACAAAGTATGAGGACAGGGATAGGTTAGGGCGCCCGTATCGGTGCACCCTCACCCCTCTAACAACTACTCCAAGGGTGTGATTACTTGCCGGGACCATCGCGGTGTTAGTGATGAGGATGTTGCTGAGGGCTTGTGTGAGGAAGGGGTGACGGCGGTGATGCGTATCAAGAGGGGAGAGAGAGGAGAGCTGACAGATGCTGATTCCATTATCCCGACATTTTGCTGTGCGAGAGTGCCCGATAGGGTCCGTGTCGGATATCAGTCGGTCCCCGTTAGGGTCTATGAACCCGATCCAGTCCGGTGCTATCGATGCCAGACGTATGGTCACTTCACGGACAAGTGCTGGCAAGAAGTAAGATGCGGAAGGCGTGCAGAAATAGGTCACCAACACTAGTGTAAATCAGAAACAGTTAAATGCGTCAACTGGGGTCAGGGTCATGTGGTGTCATATCATAGCTGTCAGTCCCTGTCAGAGAAAGCTGTCCTGAACATCGAAGTGAAGGAAGGCGTCTCGTATCGGGAGGCCCAACGCCGGCACAACGATGCGACCACCACAAGGACATACAAAGACGCCCTTATTAGACCGGCAATACATTTTGCAGAAGTAACACCCGCAACCAACGAAGTATTGAAACTGAGTGGACTTGATAATTTCAAAAGCATGGCTGTAGGCGAGTTTGTACAGCTGATTCTAAGCACACTTGTATCAACTGGACCTGCTGCCCCGTCGTCCCGGAAGTGGGATCCTCCGAAAAAGGATCCACCTGTGGCATTGGGCGTCGCTAGAGAAGCTCAACCTACGTGGTTGGACTCCCTGGTGGAGCTGCCAGAGAACCTGGGACTGGGGTGCGACCCGGGAACGGGGGGATGGATCGCTTTCCAGCGAGGCCGTGGACTTCGCCCCCCCCCCCCCCCCATCATCGCATCCCAGCCCAGCCCGTGCTGAAGACACGCCCTCCCGGGGTCCATCTCCCCTCCATCCATACCAGCTACGACGGGATCTGTCGTCGCTGGCACAGGGGCGCTACGAGAGCTGACCCCTTCTGGGTTCTCAGCTAGTGGCCCTGCCGGGAGCGCCGGTCCTCTCGGCTTACGGGAGCCGGACAAGGTTCGGCATCCCCCAGTCGTCACTCCCTCCTGGACCTGCCCTTCTGAAACCGTTGTTCGTCCGGGTTCTCTGGACCTTGGACCTGCAGGGCGCGCCGCCGGGTCGGCTTGTGCACCGCGGACCGGGTCGGCTCCCGCTGTCGACTCCGCCCCATTCGCCGGGAGGGTCAATGGGTCCGCCTCCCATTCCTCCACGTGAAGACGGGGTTTCGGGTTAAGCCAACCAGCAGTCCCTGGCAGCAGGTCGTGCAACAAAGCGTGTCCCTCCTTGGCCGACGCCGCCTACGGAGGGTGGAAATCCCAAAGCCTGGCCAAGGGTCCGGGTTAGCTTCACTGAAGAAGAGCGTTGCCAGGGAGATTTGTTTGGTGCGAAATCGTAGGTGAACGTTTAAAGCACATGTGAGCTATACCGATGGATCTAAACCGTACACCCCACATACAAGCATATCTAGCATACCACTGACGTTTTTACAATGGAACATGCGTGGCTTGAGGGCCAGCATGTCGGACCTACATACACTCTTATCTAATCGTAACCCGGTTGTGGCATGCTTACAAGAAACAAAGGTATCTAATGACACTCACCTTGACATCGAATGTTACAGCATCTTTCGGAAGGACGTGAGAACTGACACGATCGCCCATGGTGGGGTGGTGGTTTTAGTTCATCACAGTATACCGTGTTCTCCTGTGAGTCTTAACACTGACCTTCAAGGTGTTGCTGCCGTCGTCCACCTTGGGTCGTTGAGGGTGACTGTTCTATCCACCTCTCTCCCGCTGAGGAAGTACCGGATCCGATATTGCAGTCTATCTTCGATCAGCTTCCATCGCCGCTCTTGCTGCTAGGTGACTTCAACTCCCATAGCCCTTCGTGCAGTCACGCAAGCCGCCGAGGCCGACACCTCGAACGTTTGCTGAATTCAAATAATCTTTGTGTTGTTAACACCGGCCGGCATATCCATATATCTCTGCCGTCCAGCACCACTTCAGCCATAGATCTTTCTATCTGCTCTTCGTCCCTTTTCTGTCGGTTGCCTTGGGTCGTTGAGAGCACCACGTGCGAGAGCGACCATTTCCCAATATGGCTTGGGATGAATGCTGGACACCCAGGCAGGTGGCCTTCCTGCTGGAAGCTGCGATGTGCTAACTGGCAAAGGTTTACCGGCGAGTGTCATATTAGAATGCAGCCGACCGAGGAGGACAATGCAACACCTCTTACGCATCAAGAGACATCCACAATTGTCGACACTGCAAGGTCTTGCATTCCTTTGACATCACCTGAGCCGCGCAGGATCCCTGTCCCCTGGTGGTCAGAGGACTGCATGGCGGCAATTAGCGGAAACAGGCATTCAAGATTTTTAAGCGTTCTGCAACGACCAACAACCTCATCGCTTTTAAAAAGGCCAGCATTGGCGAAACGCACAATACGCGAGGCAAAGTGTGCATCATGGAGGGAATATGTAAATGGTTAAATCGTCGCACCCCACGTAGTGCGGTGTGGCAGCGAGTTAGTCGCATTTCCGGTAGGAATGTTTCTGCTGCAGTTCTGTTGTTGAAAGTGGCGGGAACCACGATATTGAACACACAGCAAGTTTCCAACAAAATAGGTCTCGCATTTGCAGAAAGGTGCCGACATGGAACATACCACACACGCTTTATTCGTTGCAAGGAACAAAGTGAGAAGACGTCAATCAGTTTTAGAATTCGTGACTCGGAGATTTATGAGTACAACCATTCACTGTCATGGAACTCTGCACTGCTCTTAAGAGAGCTAAGAGTGTATCACCTGAATTGGATAAAGTCCACAATGATATGCTAAATCACAAAAGGGAGTCTCTCCATGCTCTGCTTGAACTTTTCAACTACATATTATTGCATGGTGACTTTCCGGAGTCGTGGCGGGAGGCCATTATAGTCCCGATGCAGAAGGCCGGAAAGGATGGTTCCGACCCACTGCACTACCGCCCAATTTCGCTGACTTCAGCCCTATGCAAGGTGCTAGAAAGGATGGTGAGTGGTCGTCTCATGTGGTATCTTGAAACTCACGGCTGTCTTTCCAAAGTGCAATGCGGGTTTCGGAAGAACTGACGCACCATTGACCACTTACCTGTAGGTAAGTGGTCAATGTACCGATTTTAGACAGCTAAACGACACTCTTTTAAACAAAGACGTCACACGATAGCCATCTTCTTTGGTGTTGAGGGGGCTTATGATACCGCCTGGCGCCATGGCATTCTAAGCAAAGAACACAAGTGTGGACTCCGAGGTCACATGGCACCCTTCATTGAAAACTTTTTACGTCGTCGATTTTTTCGCGTCCGAGTGGGTGGCGTGCTATCTGATCGTTATGGACAAGAGAACGGTGTTCCTCAAGGGAGCGTCCTTATCGTAACCCTGCTTGCGCCTATGATCAATGATATCCCCGACTGTCTGCCACCTACCATCAGTCGGTCACTGTTTGTGGACGACTTTACCATCTGGTGTGCAGCATCCACAGCAACGTCTGCAGAGAGGCAGCCTCACTTATGCCTGATTCGACTGAGTGGAGCCTAAAGAATGGCTTTGAATTTTCGACCACCAATACTAAGTGCATGCACTTTTGCTCACGGATTAGAGGCTGTAGAGACCCGGAGTTGCGACTTTACAATGCCGCTATTCCAGTGTGTAACGAAATCTGTTTTCTAGGCCCTACCTCTGACCGCCGGCTTACGTTTAAGCAACACTTCAGGACGATTAAGTCTAAGTGTCTTAAGGACATGAACCTCACGAAAGTAATGTTTCGTATGACCTTTGGAGCCGATGGACGCACCCTGTTGAACTTGTATGGGGCTTCAATGCGATCAGTCATCGATTATGTCCCTGTCTACGACAGTGCTCCTACATCTTCGAAGCAGGTTTTGGACACAATCCACCATACATGTGTTCGTATAGCCACTGGGGCGTTTCGTTCGACTTGAACAAGAAACTTGCTGGTTTAAGCGAATGAACCGCCTTTGCCTCTTACGAGACAACGACTTGCTTTGAATTACGCTACAAAGATTTCACAATTTCTTGATCACCCAACCTTTGAGTTCATCTTCTCTCAGACGTTAATCCGTTCTTTCTTGAGGGGGCGACCCACGTCAGCGCGGCCGATGTGTCTGCGCGTCCGGTACTGGCTGGACGAGGCGGATATTACGCTGGATGACCTTACCCCGCACACTTTTCGGGACCCAGCTCCTTGGAGACGTCTGAGTGAAGTGTGATTTGGAACTTTGTCAGCATCATAAAAATGACACTTCACGAGAGTTCCTCAGCTATGCGTTGGAACGGATCTCACAATATGTGAACTCATTACAAATATTTACTGATGGGTCCAAGGGCTCGACAGCAACAGGTTGCGCATTTGTTTGTGGTGATCACACCGTAGGTGTCTGCCTCCCGCATCATATGTCAGTTTTTTCCTCAGAACTGTTGTCAACAAAATCAACAAAATCATGTGATGTGTACAGTAGTCACTGTCCGTATTGTTTGTAACTGGAAATGGGGTGTCGTGCCAAAATTAATATATTTGCGACATTGTCTTATTGTTTGTAACTGGAAATGGGGTGTCGTTCCAAAATTAATATATTTGCGACATTATCTTATTGTTTGTAACTGGAAATGTGGTGTGATGCGAAAGTTCATGAATTTGTAACGTTGCCATGAATTGACTGTCAAATCACTGCTATGGCTATGGTAAAGATGGTT